GGACACCGGAAGTAAGGGATGCCGTCAAGCTGAAGAAGGAGTCCTTTTGAGCCTGGTTGGCTCGTGGGACTCCTGAGACAGCTGACAGGTACCGGCAGGCCAAGCGGGCTGCAGCCCAGGCGGTTGCGGAGGCAAAAACTCGGGTCTGGGAAGAGTTCTGTGAGGCCATGGAGAATGACTATCGGTCGGCCTCAAAGAGATTCTGGCAAACCGTCCGGCGCCTCAAGAGGGGGAAGCAGTGCCCTGCCAAAACTGTTTACAGTGGAGGTGGGCAGCTGTTGACCTCAACTGGGGACATTGTCGGACGGTGGAAGGAATACTTCAAGGATCTCCTCAATCCCGGCGCCATGTCTTCCGATGAGGAAGCAGAGGCTGAGCGATAGTCGAACCTCGGATTCAGGAGGAACAATGCGGTTTTTGTCCTGGCCATGGAACACTGGACCAGCTCTATACCCTCTTCAGGGTGGCAGAGGGTTCATGGGAGTTTGCCCAACCAGTTCACATGTGTTTCGTGGATCTGGAGAAGGCATTCGACCGTGTCCCTCGCAGAGGGAAGTCTGGGCATCTTTGCTTAGACTGCTGCCCCCGCGACCCGGTCCGGGATAAGCGGAAGAAAATGGATGGATGGATGGACTATTGTCCATGGAGAAAATACATCAAAATATGTTTATAATTATGCCTGCTTACATTATGGAAAACAGAAGAACAGAGTGAGAACTATAAACCTGTAAACAGTGAACGCCACTAACAGTATGTTATGTACCTCAGAGTTTGATGATGTCGGAGTTGTGCTGTCATTGCTTCATCACTGCATGTAACAGGGGGTGCAGATACAGCTGTCAGAGTTTCCTTTAGCAGCAGTTGAGTGAAAAGGTGAAAGGTTTTTTGCATAGACAAGTGATTTAAAACAACTTCTGGAATTCATTGTTAAAATAATGTTTTCAACAAATCAAAAATCTCACTGGCAGATGTATTTGCAGGAACAATGTCTTGCTTATTCTGGCTAATTCACAGACCTCAGATTTTAAAAGTTTTTTTGGAACAACTTTGTACCAAATAATTATCTCCTATGAAAACAGGGTCAGCAGTTTTATTTGAGCACCCACTCATTTTTCTTCCTCCACATCTACAGACCTTCACTGAATTTGAGATCGAGCAACATCAGGAGTGTGCGTACGACCACCTGGAGGCCTTTGACGGGGACAGTGACACATCAGCCATCTTGGGTCGACTATGTGGTGGTAAAATTCCCGAGCCGCTGGTCTCCACTGGAAACAGAATGTACCTCCGCTTCATCTCTGATGCCTCAGTACAAAGGAAGGGCTTTCAAGCTACACATTCCACAGGTGTGTGTCCTTGTGCAGGCGTATATGAGTGTTTATCTATGTTAGCAATAATATCTCACTTTCATATGAGTGTGTGGAACAGTGTATGTGAGTTTGTCTGTAAAGATGCATCATTCACAATAACCATCACTCAAAACTGAGCAGTTTTTAAGAGCAGTGTCTCCCTCTAGTGGTTTGAAACAGCACATACATGACTGAAAATGAAATCATAGTTGATCACCTGGGAAAACACAAAACCTGCCATTTCGCTCTTCCCTAATCCCATGTCTTTGCAGAATGTGGAGGTCGTCTGAAAGCAGACTCTCGTCAGAAGAACCTCTACTCCCACTCCCAGTTTGGAGACAATAATTACCCAGGTCACGCTGACTGCGAGTGGCTGCTGATGGCTGAACAGGGCTACAGCATCGAGCTGAGCTTTATCACTTTTGAGGTAGAGGAGGAAGCTGACTGTGGTTATGACTACATTGAGCTGTACAACGGATATGATGCTAACTCGCATCAGCTCGGCCGCTTCTGTGGTTCAGGGGTAAGAGTTCAATGGCTGAATCTTTAATGTGTAATCTTAGCTACTGTAAGTTTAGACCATAACAATGTTTCTTTCTGTTGATGTCTTACCACATTAACTACAAATTTTTTTAATCACCATAGTCAAATGCATGCTATAAGGTTTTGCCTGTTGTTCTTAGCAGCTATCAGTAAACTTGTAAATATTTTTCTTATTGACAAAACCAATAATTAACTGATTGTACTAACAAACCTGATATACAGTGTTGTACGTTTCCTTTTAAATCCTTATCCTGTAGAGATATACAGGGTGGTTGGAGCAAATCCCAGTTGACACAGGACAAGAGGCGGGGTACACCCTGCACAGGTTGAACAGTCTGTTACAGGACTGACACACAGATACAGACTACTCACATTCACACCTACAGGACAATTTAAGCGTCATCAGTCATCCTAAATTTAGAGTGTGGGAGGAAGCTGAGGAGAACATGCAAACTCCACACAGAAAGGCCCTGGTTGGCCACAAGGTTTGATCCTGGAACCCTCTTGTTGTGAGGTGACAGTACTCCACTGTTTAGACCAGTGTTTGTTTTGGAACTATTAAAACAAGAAAACTAACTATTTACAAAAGTATTTAGGCCCTTAGTTCAGTACTGATTAGAAGCCCCCTTTGATTGCCAGTTCTAGGAAGAGTCCTGCTGGTTCCAGACTTCTTCCGTTTCACAATTGTTGAGGCCACTGTCTCCTGTGAACACCTAGAGCTTTAGAAATGGTTTTATACTCTTGCCCTGATCCACACCTCATCACAGTTTTCTCATAGAAGTCTACAGAGAACTCCTCAGACTTTGGCTTGGTTTTTGTCATGACATGCAGTGAGAATTATGGGACTTTATATACACAGGTGTGTGCCTCTTTAAACTACTGTAAGTCCCGTTAATTCAATTTACCACAGGTGGACTCAAATCACGTTCTAATGACAGCACAGCAGCATGATTTGCAAAATGGTTACCTGCAATGTAAAGCCTGTCATATGTAGACAATGCAAAACCACTGATGTAAACTTTTTCATGTCTGAGAAACGGCTTCATGTCTCTCTGTCTTCCCTTCCCCAGCCCAGGGAGGAGATTTATTCGCCCGGAGATGCCATGTTGATCCGTTTCCATACCGATGACACTATCAGCAAGAAGGGCTTCCACATCCGCTACACGAGCACCAAGTTCCAGGAGAGCTTTCACACCAGGAAATGACCTCACATGCAGCCCGTGGCCTCTGACCTCTGTGCAGCCCCACCACTGTTAACCTGACCTTCACCATGGCAATGAGAAAAGTACAGCCTGTCCTGTCATCTCAGGCCCATGGATAGATGAGAACATTTGTGGATGTTCGCCAGCCACCAAAGGAAGACGATACTGATGCGAACATTTGTCTCTCCTGTGGCTCCTCACAGGTCATCGCACTCTTGAGATGAGACAGGAAATACAATTACATATCAGTATGAGGTTCAACAAATGTGGGGAAATGTGCTGTGAGCCTTTTTTGTGGAGGAGATGAGTTTCATAACTGCACATCAATCTGCCCTAGTTCAGTGTGGAAAGGAAAGAGGGCTGCAGAAGATCCAGGTCAGTTAACAGAGATCCTCATGGTTTCACAAATTCAGAATTATAAACTATGGATGTTAAAGGAACTAAAGAACTACAAGTAAATGCATCTAACAGGGGAGTTTGGTGTGTTTTCTGACTCCTTAATCTTTGAACTCTGCAAAGTACTGTGATCAAATGGCTGCTTATCACCCACAGTGACTGAAAGGAGACCCTAAATAGACATTTTTATTGCCTTTGCTGCCTGGGAACTAGTCTCTTCAACCCAGCTCAGAATGGCTGCAGATGATTTTATTTCGTGTCTTATTGTAAAACCTATTGTGTTTACTGTGTGTGTATGTGTGTGTATGAGTGTACAGAGAAGGCTGAAGACTGTCTTTTGCTCTTTTTGCTTAATGCTTCTGCAGACAACAGTGATGGAATGGAAAAAATAAATAAATAAATAAAACTTGTAAGAGGAGGATTGTCAAATGATCTGTGATGTTAATGTTTAAGCCTTGCATTATGTTGTGCGTGTGTGTGTCTGTACATTTCAAGTTTGCACCTTCTTATAACAAACTTTCATGGATGTTTCCTCTTCACCCCCTAATAATCATGATTTTGTTTGTGGATATTGGAAGGGAATATTTTTCACAGCTGTCTCTTGGAGCGACGCTGTTCTGACTGACAGAGAGATTCCCATGGTGCTAAAATAAAAATACACTGAATGAAGGTTTTCAAATGGAGACATGGTCAGCGTGCAAACAGCACACTGCATCAACAGCACTAGTCCGGTGGAACTACAGTTTTGCCTTAGAGCCAAATGTATGCCCTCTTGAGGTCTCTCCTATGTTCTTGCACAGGTGTCTTGTGTCAGTAGTGTTTGCAAGGTTTACTAGCAGCATATCTCATTTGTTTGGAGGTTTTGAATGGTTTTACTATTGTGTGTGTGTGTGTGTGTGTGTGGGGCGGGGGGACATACATACACACATGCTTATAGATCCACGTTGCGTTGTCCCGACCATCTTTGAACACAGTGAAATCCTCTCTGTAAATTGTGAGTGTGGAGAACAAAGTGTTTTTAAGTTGTGGAGGAGTATCAGGGGCATACAGGCTGTATCATTTCTGTGTTAAATACATACAGTGTGTGTTTATAGGAGATTGTAGAGAACTAATGTGTGTGTATGTCTGTAAGCTGTATGTATTTTAGTTGAATCATTCATTCATTGCTGTATGTGCCAAGCTCCAGGTGGCCCCGATCCACAGTAGTTTCTGTCTATCAACTTGATGTCCTCTGCATTGGCCATTAAAATACACAAAGGTAAAAGTGTGTTTGATATTTTATTGCTATGCTTAGTTTTTCTTACTTCCCAGACCCAAGTTTTTGCCTCCACAACCACCCGGGCTGCAGTCCGCTTGGCCTGCCGGTACCCGTCAGCTGC